CACTCACTCACTCACTCACATACACACTCACTCACTCACACACACACACACGCTCATGCTCACACACACGCTCACACACACACTTTCACACAAACAAACACTCTCTCACACACACAAACATGCTCACACTCACACACACACTCTCTCTCTCACACACACACACACACACTAAACATGGTGAAATTAAAGTCAGCTGATCCTCATTGAGTGTAACTGTTAAACACACACACTGCAGTGAAGCTGCATTCAGATAGAAAACACACGAGTCCTGATCCGGACTTCAGGACGCTTGACTTTGGATCGGATCAAACCCAAATAACGGTGTTCAGGGCACGAGCGAGAGCTGCTGCAGTCACTCACTCACTCACACACACACTCACTCACACACACACTCTCTCACTCACACACTCACTCACTCACTCACTCACACACACACACACACACACACACTAAACATGGTGAAATTAAAGTCAGCTGATCCTCATTGAGTGTAACTGTTAAACACACACACTGCAGTGAAGCTGCATTCAGATAGAAAACACACGAGTCCTGATCCGGACTTCAGGACGCTTGACTTTGGATCGGATCAAACCCCAATAACGGTGTTCAGGGCACGAGCGAGAGCTGCTGCAGACTACAGGAGACACACGACTAGCCCTTAAAAACCAGCCGCCGAGCCACACGCGGGTTCATCCAATCAAGGCATCAGAGCTCACACGCTGAAAGCCTATTGGCTGAGAGAGCTGTCAATCAAAGGGCTGAAGAGCTCAGGAGGGATTCATAATACTTTTGAAATGTCTTTAATATATGAATGCGTACACACAACCTGCTCTTTGAGAACTTCAAAAGAAATAAACAGGTAAAAAAGAAAATCAGCGACAAAGAAAACGAACGCGTGTGTGCGTGGATTCAGTGTGTTTGTAAATCATCTCTAAAATGGCTTGTTATCGTTTTCTGTAATCGTTTGGCAGTCAGTGGATTCAGCTCATCTCTGTCCAACTACTATTATAATAACTAACGAACAGAAATCAGTCTCTATAAATAAGAATAGTAGTGCAGCACTACAAAGGTAAATCTAGTTTTAGAACGAGATATTTAAATATTTGTATTAAAAATCTTTGTTTAGTATCTAATTTCAGTTTGTTACAGGAAGCATCAAAGCGCCACCGCAGATAACTAACTACTTATGAAGAGACCTGAACCGAAGATTCGTTTCGTCTCCATGTGAGGACATTCGATTCAAAAGAATATTTACAGACGACAGACGCGACGGGATGAGCAGCGGATCGAAGCCAAGCATTCATTGGTGTCGTACAATTCAGAGTTCATATGATTTCACAGACACGTAGAAGACGAGGGTCACGCGTGTTTTTGGACTAATCTCACACGTTTTAACACGGTAAAAATCATTCCACAGCATTCTACAGGTTTCCCTCCAGAAGAATTGTTTTTCACAATAATCCAGGTTTTCACAGGAGCCCTGAAGAAACACCTGCAGATCCGCCTGGTGTGGGAGGGGTTTAGTATTACGTGGGTGGGGCTACACATGTGGGAGGGGTTTAGCATCAAGTGGGTGGGGCTACACATGTGGGAGGGGTTTACGGGGGTGGGTCTGTTCTGCCTCTGTGAACAGATTCTCTGATCGATCATCACAAACACTGTCGTGAGTGTCTCGAACATCGCATGATTGTTCTGATCTCAGAGAATCTTCATGAACGACGTAGCAGCAGCCTGAAGATTCAGCAGAAAATACTGTGTTTCAGGCCCTTCTGCTAGTCATTAGTCCTAAACCACATCTAAATGACCTTACGTGATTCTAGCGCTCCTTCATTAGTTTACATTAGGCAGATTCCGGAACAGGCTGCAGGGTATTATGGGAAAACACAATGAAATGAACCATTTTTCTAGATGATTTCGCTCTGGGTTTCTGTGGTAAATCACACACATGCACTCAGACTGTCGGACAGACGGGCATCACTGGAATTAAGTGCTTGAACCGGTTAAACGGCAATATTCTTGTCTTAAAAAGAGCACCTTCTTTCTTTTCTCCATGTCATATTTTTTCCTGATAATAAGACGGTTGTCGTGCCGGGGCGTAATGGTGAGCGTGGATGGACGGATGGAAACAGTCTGAGACGATCGATCGCATTCAGAGCGTCTGCGATGAACATTAACACTTCAGAAGAGCCGAGAGAACAGACAGGAGGAGGAGCCAGAATGATTGACAGACGCAGCCTGAGGCGTTGATGTCCCGCCCAGTGCCAGGTTCTGAGAGAGAGAGAGAGGGGGAGTCGGTTAGCTGTACATGATGGTAAACTGCGCCATCTGCTGGTCAACATGCTGAACTATATCCGTGCGTGCGTGTGTATGTGAGTTTGAGAGTGTGTGTGTGTGTGTGTTTGAGAGTGAGTGTGTCTGTGTGTGTGTTTGATTCTCACTGTAGAGGAACACGCTGGCGTTGTGGATTCCCAGTCTGTTGGTGGCGACACACGTGTAGTTTCCGTAATCGTTCTCTGTGACGTTAGCGACCACCAGCAGCGTGCGAGAGCCGCTGATCTGAATACTGACGCTCTGAGAGCTGGACAGTCTGATAAACACACACACACAACACTGACAACACATTCAAATGTGTTTGTCTAAAAAAAATTAAGTTACTGGATTTTTTTTCAAATGTGAATGTATTTTCTTGGACTAAAATATATGGAGGGCAAAATATTTTTAAATGCTTCAAAACTATATTTATATATTTAAAATATATTTTTAAAACTATAAAAAATGGCCAAATATTTTGATATATATATATATATATATATATTTAAATATATTTAAAAAAAATAAGGATTAAAGTGATGCACTTGAATGATACATTGAATTTAATCTCACACACGTCAGTCTGATCTCACACACACAGTCTGATCTAACACACACAGTCTGATCTCACACACGTCAGTCTGATCTCACACAGTGTGATCTAACACACACAGTCTGATCTCTCACGCAGTCTGATCTCATAAACACAGTCTGATCTCACACACGTCAGTCTGATCTCACACACAGTCTGATCGCACACACGTCAGTCTGATCTCACACACAGTCTGATCTAACACAGTCTGATCTCATAAACACAGGCTGATCTCACACACAGTCTGATCTCACACATGTCAGTCTGATCTCACACACACAGTCTGATCTCTCACACAGTCTGATCTAACACACACAGTCTGATCTCACACACATCAGTCTGATCTCGCACAGTCTGATCTCACACACAGTCTGATCTCTCACAGTCTGATCTAACACACACAGTCTGATCTAACACACACAGTCTGATCTAACACACACAGTCTGATCTAACACACAGTCTGATCTCATAAACACAGTCTGATCTCACACACATCAGTCTGATCTTGCCCACAGTCTGATTTCATAAACAGTCTGATCTCACACACGTCAGTCTGATCTCTCACGCAGACTGATCTCATAAACACAGTCTGATCTCACACACATCAGTCTGATCTCACACACAGTCTGATCTCATAAACACAGTCTGATCTCACACACGTCAGTCTGATCTCATGAACACAGTCTGATCTCACACACACAGTCTGATCTCTCGCGCTGTCTGATCTCATAAACACAGTCTGATCTCACACAGTCTGATCTCTCACGCAGTCTGATCTCTCACGCAGTCTGATCTCATAAACAGTCTGATCTCACACACATCAGTCTGATCTCACAGTCTGATTTCATAAACACAGTCTGATCTCACACACACAGTCTGATCTCACACACGTCAGTCTGATCTCACACACGTCAATCTGATCTCACACGCAGTCTGATCTCTCACGAAGTCTGATCTCACACACATTCTGATCTAGCACAGACAGGATGAGAAACTCGGTCTGGTCTCAAACATCTACTCACAGTTAACCACCACGCTGACATATTTGACATCAGGAGTGGAGACGTCATTGCTCGCTTTACACTCGTAACGTCCGGCCTGAGATCGAATGATCCCAGAGATCTCCAGATACTCGCCCACGTCCAGAGCCTCAGCTGAGAAACACACACACACACACACACACACATCATCATCATCATCATCGTCCAGCAGAGGGCGCATGTAATGCTGTTCAGACACATGCATCACATCAGTAACCTCAACACTAACATCATATATAATAAAATATCATAATATTCCAGCAGCATCAATAAACCAGATCTGATCAAACAGAATCACACTAATAAACCATAACAGCTGCTGAGATTGAGCTGATGATACAGAACATGAGCAACAGATCCAGAACATCAGACCGCCAGGAGCTTCAGTGATCTGATCATGTTCACCATTAATTAAATCAATATCTCACACACACACACACACACACACACACACAGACATACACACACACACACACACACACACCTGTGATATGATTGCTTAAATGCATCCTTTAATACTCGTTCTTCCTTGCGCAGTGTTAATGAGCAGATAATGATCAGTTAATGAGCAGGATGAACATGATGAGATGATGAGATCTGACGTCTGACACACAGGAAATCTTACAAACAACCCATGTGTAAAAACACAATAATCACACGTACAGTAACACATGTGCTGTGTGTGTGCGTGTGTGTGTGTGTACTTATTTTGACTACACTTGTGTGGATCAAATTTCCTCACTTATATTGTGAAACACTTTACGAACCCACTAGAGAGACATTTTCCTGCTCCTCACTAGTGGAAAAAGGCTTATAAATCTGCTGAAGATGTTGTGATGTAAATCTAGTGTTCTGCAGATAATGGGTAAGTTGATAGAAAATCAGTGGAAGTCTATGCAATGTCCTCACTAAGATAGCCAAAGAAATGTGTGCGTGTGTGTGTGAGAGAGTGTGTGTGCCTGTGTGTGTGTGTGTGTGAGAGAGAGAGAGAGAGAGAGAGAGGGTGTGTG